AAATGCAGAAACTAAGATCCCTACTGAATCGCAATCTGCATTTTAACAAGGGCCCTGGATGCATGTTAAGAGTTCGAAAAACACCGTTCTATTGCGTTTAACCCGACACACCTAAGCCCTCCTCAATCTTCTCCACTGAGCTGGGCGTCCAGCAGCTAGCACAGTACCTAGGCGACAACGGACAAAGAATAAGTGCTTGTGAACTGAGCTTTCTTAACTCCTCGATGGACCGTTAGGCCAGCCTCATCGGGACAAATCACAGGACCCCTCCCCACCCTGCCGACACCTTGTTCCAGAGTCTCAGGGCGAAGTCCCGGGCCGGCCCACTGAGATCCAAAGTATCAGTGTCTCGTAGGCGCTGCACGAACTCCTCTGCCGACGTGCAGCGCTGTGCAGTACCGATCAGGAACTGGGCGACGTGCCGCTCGCTCAGCCCCAACACCGAGTGCAGCTCGTCCTGAACCCAGCGCTCCAGCCCCGCCGGCGTCGCCATGGCGACCAACGCTCCCTGCTCCCAGCCCTGAAGCGTCGGGCAGCCCGGTTCACTGCTGGGCTGGTCGGAGGCCTGGAGCCCTCCGCTGGAGCCTCAGCTTCGCAAGACGGCTACCTTGGGACCTCTAGGATCAATTTCCGACATCCCTAAGCCGTCGTCCGGTACCGCAGAGCCCGGAAGGGGCTGCACCTTTTCGGCCTCTAAGCACTACGGTGGCCGAGCGAGTTCAAACCTCGCGGAACCATGCCTGAAAGTTCGGAGTAATTCTTTTTTCTTCATTTCCGCCTCTATTCAGTTTCTCTGACGCCCCCTGATGGTCAGTCCGTGAGTGCTTCGCTAACTCATTCATTCAACAAGTGAAATCAATTTAACGGACGCCTAATGTGTGCTCATTGCTTTCCGTCGCTGGGATCTAGCAGAGGACAAATCAAAAGTTCCTTACCAAATTTACATTTTGCGGTGGGGGAGGGACAGGATACATAATAAATAAAGTATGGAAGTTTTATAGAGCCAAAAACTATACAAAGTAAGGGACGACCGAAATTCTATTTCAGATTGGAAGATAGGGTCCATGCTCATGAAGCATATTAGCCGTGTTGGCCGGGCGCGGTGGCTCACGCCTGTAATCCCAGCACTTTGGGAGGCCAAGACGGGGAGATCACCTGAGGTCAGGAGTTCGTAGGCCAACCTGGCCAAGATGGCTAAACCCTGTCTCTATTAAAAATATAAAAATTAACCGGGTGTGGTGGCGTGCGCCTGCAGCCCCAGGTACTCGGGAGGCTGAGGCAGGAGAATCGTTTGTACCTGGGAAGCGGAGCTTGCAGTGAACGGAGATCCCACCACTGCACTCCAGCCTGAGCGACAGAGGAAGACTCTGTCTCAAACAAACAAAAAAGTGACCTTTGCTAGGATTGGTTTGCCTGCAGCAGGAGTGAAGACAGGTCAGGCATAAGGGAAGACCTCTAGGCAGGAAGAAACTGGGAAACTGGGGAAAATTGTTAAAGACAAAATCTCCAAACTAAGGAACAGGCAAACTGTTTTCTGCATTTTTGCTAACATCTTGAGAAAATCACTGGTGGCTGCTTATTTAAAAGTAAGCAAGGCCAGGTGCAGTGGCTCTTCCTATAATCCCAGCACTTTGGGAGGCTGAGGCAGGAGGATCTCTTGAGAACAGGGGTTTGAGACCAGCCTGGGCAACATGGTGAGACCCTGCCATCTCTACAAAAAATTAGCCAGGTGTGGAGGTGTGCATCTGTAGTCCCAGCTACTCTGGAGGCTGAGACAAGAGAATCTTTTATTTTTAATTTTTATTTTTTTGGAGACGGAGTCTTGCTCTGTTTCCCAGACTGGAGTGCAGAGGCACGATCTTGGCTCACTGCAACCTCTGCCTCCCAGGTTCGAGTGATTCTCCTGCCTCAGCTTCTGGAGTAGCTGGGATTACAGGCGCAATAGGCACGTGCCATCACGCCCTGCTTACTTTTGTATTTTTAGTAGAGATGGGATTTTACCATGTTGGTCAGGCTGGTCCTGAACTCCTGACCTCATGATCTGCCTGCCTCAGCCTCCCAAAGTGCTGGGATTACAGGTGTGAGCCACCGCGCCGCGCCTGAGACAGGAGAATCTCTTGAGCCCAGGAGCCAGAGATTGCAGTGAGCCGAGATCAGGCTCTCCAATCTAGGCGACAGACCAAGACTATGCCTCAAAAAAAAAAAAAAAAAAAAGCTGAATTTGTCTCTTGATGCTCTGCTGTCTGATTTGTTTGACCCTGCATCACACTTTTATGATTAATTGCAGTTACCAGGCATTACTGTTAGGAAATGAAACATTGTTCTTATTAATAGTCACAAGTGGATCTACATCACTGACTTTTTTTTTTTTTTTTTTTTTTGGAGAGGGAGTCTCAGAGTCTCACTCTGTCGCCCAGGCTGGAGTACAGTGGCGTGATCTTGGCCCACTGCAACCTCCACCTCTCAGGTTCAAGCGATTCTCCTGCCTCCGCTTCCTGAGTACCTGCGACTACAGGCACGTGCCACCACATCCAGCTAATTTTTTGTATTTTAGTAGAGACGGGGTTTCACCGTGTTGCCCAGGCTGGTCTCGAACTCCTCAGCTCAGGCAATCCACCCGCCTTGGCCTCCCAAAGTGTTAGGATTACAGGTGTGAGCCACCACGCCCGGCCTGACTTCTTGAATGCATTGTTTTCTGTTTCTGAGATGGACTGTGGGCACTCCTGGCATCTCAGAGCTCCCTAACTGTTTTCCTGGGTCACGACTGGAAACTTATTAAGACCTTTACCTAACAGGCTGCTAATATAATCATTCTGTTTCCTTCCCTTCCCAGACTTCCTCCGAACTGGCTGTCTTTTGACACTGGGCTCGTTCTCTTGCTAGTAAATTGAAAACCTTTGGCATATGCTTAAGATCAATTTGTCTGATCCATTTTGTTTTATAGTAAAGGCCTGGGGCCTCCTCTGACCAGTCTGAGAGTAGCAACTTATAGTGGTAGAAGGACTCTAACTATTCAACCATATCTTTCTTAGCCTGGAGAGCTAACAACTAACAAGCAAAAATACCTGATAAATAAAATATTGATGTTCCACATTTGTATAAGATACTCTTCGAAATGAGAAAATCCCGAATATCAACTATATGGGCACCAAAGCCATGCATTATCAAGGTTTTTTAAACCTTTTTTTTTTTGAGATGGAATCTCGCTCTGTCACCCAGGCTGGAGTGCAGTGGCGCGATCTCGGGTCACTGCAAGCTCCACCTCCCGGGTTCACGCCATTCTCTCGCCTCAGCCTCCTGAGTAACTGGGACTACAGGTGCCTGCCACCATGCCCGGCTAACTTTTTGTATTTTTTGTATTTTTAGTAGAGATGGGGTTTCACCGTGTTAGCCAGGATGGTCTCGATCTCCTGACCTCATGATCCACCTGCCTCGGCCTCCCAAAGTGCTGGGATTACAGGCGTAAGCCGCTGCGCCCAGTGATATAAAATCCATTGTCTTTCAGAGAACCTTTTCCAGGAAACCGACTCTTGTACATAGTTACTTCATTTTGCAGCAATTTCAGATTTACTATTCATAGCCCCAACTCTTGAAGTACATATCCCTGGATTAGCCACATGTGTTGTGTGTCATATACGACCTAGCTGCCTGCATGGCGCAGGCTTCTAAATCCTAGAATCCTTCAACTCGAAGTGTCCTCTGCAATATTTTAACCCTTTTCTTCTACTCATTCATTGTCATTCATTCTAGAAATAATTTCGTGTCTACTAGTTGACAGGTACGGGATGTTGCAGTGAACCCAGCTGATGTAGTCAGCCCTCATGGCACTTCCAGTCTAGTGGACACTTCAACTGCCCTTTCTCATGTCACCTGCTTGTCCTGCGTGAAACCCATGCGCAGCTTCCCAGACCCCTTTTGACATGTCAGTGCCGAGTTCCTGGTTCATCCCCCATCATTTTCCTCTCCCCCAGCCACCAGAGCCTCCCCTCACATACCCGTTTTTTTTTTTTTTTTTTTTTCCCTAAAGGAGAAGCAGACGAGTTGGAGAGAACTCCATTTTATTATGGAAAGTTAAAAAAACAAAACAAAACAAGACAGGCAATTGATAAAGGCGGCACAATGGGGGAGGAGAGGTGAGGGGTCTCCTTAGCCACCCGACACCATCTCAATTCAGTTCAATTGTGAACCACTAGGAGAAACAGAATTAAATAACTATCAACGGGTACAGAGTTAAGATTTCCAGCCTTCCCTCTTGGGGAAAACTAAGGCAAAGTAATACTGAGAAAAAGTGGAGGAAGCCACACCTTCAGGTCACTCCAATGAGAAGACTGGAGGGGAGAGAGGAAAGAATTCCACGCAGACACAGCAAGTAAGCGTGGCTTGTAAACCTGGGACTTTGGCAGGTGGGGCTGGGAGCTGGTGGAATTTGTAAACCAGGCTGTGGTCAAGGAGGAGGCAGGAGCTGTAAACAAAGGGGCAGTGACCTAGGAAATGAGGGAGATGTGCCTATAAATGGAGTGGGCTCTGGGCCTCGAGAGAGATGAGTGCTTAAATCCCAAGAGTCCCCACGGGATGGTGGGAAGGAAGGCTGTGGGGAGAGTGTACCCTGCCATGGAGGGCAGGTGCTCCATCTCCACCCTCCAGGGAGTTCTGTGCTCCTTCTCAGCACTTGGCGCTCACTCTTAGATCACCCAGGATGTACCAGCACGTTTAACCCCACCCACACCAGGGACTTTGGATTAGGGTAGAAATTGGGCAATTGGCTCTGCCCCCAGAAACAGGGTGGGGAAAGCAAGTTACAAGATGTTGGTTGTTGCCCTTCCCTGCCAGGCTCATTATCAGGGTCTGCTGCCCTGAATCTTCCGGGATCCAGGATCTTCAGTTATAAGAAGGAAGGAGGTATATCCCTATGTTGAAGATGGTCACCGCCGGCAGGACTCATCTGTGGGAGAGGGGGCAATAATGACAGAGAATGAGTGAGAGCCTCTGCCTTCTGCCCACCCTTCCCCCACACACAAATTGAAGGGCAGTTGGCATGCAGGAAGTCCTATAATATCTTCCACATCTAAAGCACGTTACCATCAGTAACCACATCCATCACTCATTTAGCTCGGATTCTGTGCCAAGCATCCTCATAACTGTTTAATGTCACCATAACTCCAGGAGAGATTAAGTAATTTGATATCCAGCTGTGGCTCTTGGTGCTTCACAAAAACTACTTAATCTTGGCCTGGAGCCCCTGTAATCTGAGCAATTTAGGAGGCTGAGGCGGGAGGATCACTTGAAGTCAGGAGTTCAAGACCAGCCTGGCCAACATGGGGGAACCCTGTCTCTACTAAAAATATAAAAACTAGCCAGGTGTGATGGTACACATCTGTAATCCCAGCTACTTGAGAGACTGAGGCATGAGAATCGCTTGAACTTGGGAGGCAGAGGTTGCAGTGAGCTGAGATTGTGCCACTGCACTCCAGTCTGGGCGACAGAGGGAGACGCTGTCTCAAAATAAATAAATAAATTAATTAAATAAAATAAATTACTTAATCTTTTCTACAACTCTAGGAGGTAGTTTTTGGTTTCTGTTTTTTTGAGACGGAATTTCACTCTGTAGCCCAGGCTGGAGTGCAGTGGCATCATTTCGGCTCACTGCAACCTCTGCTTCCCAGCTTCAAGCGATTCTCCTGCCTCAGACTCCCGAGTAGCAGGGATTGCAGGTGTCCACCTCCATGCCTAGCTAATTTTTGTATTTTTAGTAGAGATGGGTTTTCACTATGTTGGCCAGGCCGGTCTTGAACTTCTGACCTTGAGTGATCCACCTGCCTCAGCCTCCCAAAGTGCTGGAATTACAGGCGTGAGCCACCGTGTCTGGCCTGTTTGTTTCTTTTGAGACAGGGTCTTCCTCTATTGCCCAGGCTGGAGTGCAGTGGGTGGTGCAATATCGGCTCACTGCAGCCTCCAACTTCTGAGGTCAAACGATCCTCCCACCTCAGCCTCCCAAGTAGCTGGAACCACAGCTGTGCACTGCCACACCTGGCTAATTCTTTTATTTTTATTTATTTATTTTTTTTAGAGACAAAGTCTCGCTCTGTTGTCCAGGCTGGAGTGCAGTGGGGTGATCTCGGCTCACTGCAAGCTCCGCCTCCCAGGTTCACACCATTCTCCTGCCTCAGCCTCCCAAGTAGCTGGGACTACAGGTGCCCACCACCACGCC